ATATATATATATATATATATATATATATATATATATATATATATATATATATATATATATATATATATATATCAGTATTGTAAAAATCCCGATTAGGTGCCGATTAATCTCCGATTAATCCTTAGGCGCTACCCGACCGATTAGAGGGCGCCTAACAATTAATCTCTCCATACAAAATGACTGAAATAGTATAAAACGATGAAATTTTAACACTTTGAAGAAATTCTATTCAATAGAAACCATTTGAGTAATGATTAATGTTGTATTAATCATATTAACCTATTTTATTAAGATATTAGTGGTATTTACTAACTTTGTTATAATATTAGTCATATTTAATTTTTTTAAATTTAACGATTTAGCAATGAATGGTCCCCGATTAATCACCCGATTTATCCTCGTCTAGCCGATTAATCTTTTAACCCCAATCCACCGACTAGCTAACGCCGAGCGTTTTTTACAACCTTGGTATATATATATATATATATATATATATATATATATATATACACAAATGTTATTAAAGATGTCTTTGTATTTTTATGTTACTAAAAGTTGTAGTTCATACATTTTGTTACCCGTTATATGTAGATTATCGTACGTTTTATATATAATTTATACAATTTTAAATGATTTATAAAATTATCAAATAATTGTGTATATCACAATGTCTTAAAAATTAAAACTATAATGTTTAATAAAACTATAATGTTTAATAAAATTAATATGTTAACTATATGTTTGCTTTACTACTAATATTTTGTTTCAAAGTAGAAATATTAAATAATAATTTGGTAAAAGTTATTGCTTTAAGTATATAATTGTATTCTCATGCAATTCACGGAGATTCGTCTAGTTATACTTATAAAAGAAGCATTTTTCCTTTCACCACATCAATTTGAAACTCCCAACTTTTCAAATTTTCATATAATATAATTTCTAACTTAAATCTGTTATTAATTATAAATATTATGACAAATGAAAGACTTTTTGAATTATCAGTAGCTTCAATATAGTGTTCAATGCATATCCTTAATTAATATATTAAACAAATTTAAAAATACAGTGTAAATTTTAAAATCTAAAGTAAAATATGAAATAAAGTTTTTTAAAAAAACTCATTGTATATTTTTTGACAAGAGTTAATAAGAAAATATTAAATACAATAAACGTAAAAGAACATAATCTAAAAGTAAACTTAACAAAAAGATCTCCAAAAACTATTTTTTATAACAACTGAAATTCAGTAAGTTGTTTATAAATTAATTTATAATAATAATAATAGTTAAAATAGCATAAAGTTATAAATTAAATTTTGTTACATCACAAACAATGATTGATAATTTAAATAATCATCCTGATGAAATTAAAACGTTGTCAATTTTTTTAAAGTTAATATATCATAACATTAGTTATTTAAAATAGATGAGAAATATAATTAATTTTATACACATGTATACCATTAAATGATTATATTTTAGTAAGTGTTATATTTTCTATTGTTCAAATTAATTATAATGTTATATTAACTAAATATCTAAATGTAATAATAATTATTTTTAGTTAATATAAAGGACATAAATATTTTCAATGACATATGATTACAAAAAGTTTACTAAATAATTTTATGTCGCGCAACCTAGTAAAAATAAATAAACCTAGACAACTCAATCAAATTAAATATTTAACTTCTCTGCATTTTTATTTCTAAACCGGTCACTCTACATCAAATCCTTCATTATTCATTAATTCTACATTAAATCCTTTAGGGTTCATTTGGTTCTCTGGAATGGAATGAATTTCAAGGGAAAATGAATCTAATTCTACCACATTCTAGCATTTGGTTCAACTTTTTATGATGGAATTGGAATCCTAAATGAAAAAACTTTCAATTAAATGGGGGAAAATACTTTCCTTCATTAAAATGATGGGGTTAATTTGCTAATATCAAGGAACGTGGAAGATTATTGTTATGCCTCTTCTATTTTTCACAAAAGCATTCTAAAAATGAAACCATATCTCATGACTTCGTCAAATTATATTGCACCCAACAAGACACACAATGTCGTCTTCTTTATCTCTTGCGCCAGGTAAGTCTCGTTGTCGCTCTTGATTTTTCTTTATCGCACTCTCGCTCTCTCCTCTTTTAATTAATTTCCCAAAAGTCATTGGTTCATACTTGCTATGTAAAATATCAAATCATATTCTCCATATTTCCTTAAAACTATATCGTCCATATCCGCTAAAAATTGATACCATATTATGATTTTTGACTGAGAATCGTTTTGCATACCTTCCATAACCACTAAAATGATTTAATCTCAAGATTTCGTTTTGAAGAAACGTGGATTGCTCAGTTGTCCCCTGGATGATCCTTGCAGAATATGATTGGTGTAGATGGAATATTAATAGTGGCATAAGTACTTTCTTGCGTTGGTGTCTTCCCTTATGTTGTTTCCATCTGGCATGTGCATGGAACAGGCAGCTTCTTGCTGCTGAGTTGGTTTATTATGTTGTCGTCTGGATAGGCCACTAGATGAGAAGTTTACGTGTCTTGGTGTGGGTTTACATAATTTCTAGGAAGCAAGCCAGCCCCAGAGGTTATCTATGGGATAGCTCATTATTAGGAGTAACTGGTCTAGATATTGATAGACACGATTAAGGGCTTGATATCGCTCTTCCATTGTTCAGTGACGCATCCTTAGGGGTAAGTTATCAACACCAGTGCAATATAAGGAAATTCACCAATTGTTCGCTCCAATAAGAGTAAACATCGAAGCGAAGATGTGTTCCACAATGCAGTTGGATTAATTATCGTAAGTCCTAAAGAAATATCAAAGGACTTGAGTCAAGGTATTAAATTTAACATAAAGATCAACAAACCGAGTGAGAAGATCCATGTGGATATTTTAAAGATGAATTTACTAAAGTAGCTCGAGAAGTTCAAAGCTTTGACCAAGATAAGAAGTGATCATATATACGACAAAACTTTTGGCAAATTGAAGAATGTGATAGAGAGGTTTGGGTCAAATACATTTCAAAATGGTAGTATTATTAATTAGGATGCTAATTCATATTTGTTAGGTTTTTTTAGAAGTTTATGATGATGTTGATTGATATTTTAGATTTGTAAATTTTTTGGTATTTTCCACTGGGATATATCGGAAAATTGTTATGCTTTTTGGTGACGTTATTGGGATGTGAAGTGTAATGACTTTATTGAGTTATAATGTTTATTAACATGATTTTCATAATATATTGACATGAATGTTCAATCAATAAAATATAAATTTACTATTTTTATAATTTATATACAAAAGTGACAAATATTTTATTTTACATAGATTCCAATTCTATTTACTACAAACCAAACACAATCTATTTACATAGATTCCAATTCTATTTACTGAAAACCAAACATAATCTAAAATTAATTTCAATTTCATTTTCTTTCAGTCAAATAGAATATGAAACAATTTCAATATAATTCTAACTCTGACTCTAACTCTATGATCCAAACAACACCTTGTATGTACAATGAAAATATGTTTGCAATAGGTACAAACCTTGCAACATCTTATATATACAATAAAAATATGTTTGCAATAGGTGCAAACCTAGCAATTGCAATAATAGCCAGACTCTTGAACCATATACAAGAATCAAAACCCTTGATGAGTGTTGATAGTTTTTGGTGGCAACCAAGATTGAGGAGGGTGTGAATAAGAGCATTCACAATAGTGAGTTCAATGGAAGAGTTGAATGAGGTGACAAGTTTAAGTGTCATTCAATGGATGAAACTCTACCAATATGAGATGACACATTAGCACTCATTGGATTTGGAGTTCAATGGTCATTGGACTCTTCAATGAAAAAAAGTAAAGTTTTTAATTCCTAAATATATACTATAAATTACCTTTTGTAATATTCTATTGAACTATGTAGAGTTCAATGCATTGTAGGAAAAAATTAGTATGGATTATAGAAAGATGACGTGACAATCTATTGAACTCTATGGAGTTCGATGCATTGTGGATGCGCTAAGAATGAGCAACTGTGGCAAGTATATCGGATGAGACTTTAATTTCTATTTTGTGTAAATGTAAATGTCCGACCTTGGGTGATTTTGATTGATTTGGTTTTGTGATTATATTTCTTTTTATGTATTTGGCACAAGAAGATGCCAAGGATGAAGGGATAAAAGTAAACCTGACAATTTGATACACGACACGAACACGATACGAGTTTTTCATATATGTGTTTTAGAAATTCGTTTTTCTTGTTTATTCGTGTCTAACATATATTTTAAATTCGTGTTTCATGTCTTATACATGTCAAACACGAATTTACATGTTTAGACATGTATAAGACATGATACAAATTCGTGCTGACATGTGACACGTATAAATACACATATACTTTAGGGTTAACTTTTATATTTATAATATATTAGGGACCAATTTTGTAAAATTCAATAATTAATTTATAGCCCTAGCTTAAAAAAGCCATTAAAACCGTGTTTTTTAGTGTTTTCGTGTAACACAGCTAAAATACGTATCTATTCGTGTCTTATCACGTGTCACACGAATTTTTTTCGTGTCGTGTTTGATACTCAAACACGTTTTATATTCGTGTCGTGTAAATTCATATCTGACACGAATACACGACACACAGACACGGATTATCACGTCTAAATAAAAGACATATAACAAGAAGATGTGAAAATTTTAGTAAAAGACATAACAAAAGAAGATGAGAAAATTTAGTAATTTTAAAAGGTAAAAACGTGAAAGATTAAAGGATGGTGATGTAATTTTAGTAAATGGAATGGAAGTTCCTATTATTTGAAACACACGTGGTACATGGGCTTCATGTTTTCTATCTGTCCCTCTCTATAAATTACTTCTACACCTTCATTCCACCACCCACACGGCCAAACCTCCCTTAACAATCTACTGACACCACCTCTCTCCGGTTTCAGATCTTACCCACGATCTATAATGGACGTTCGCCGGCGTCCGATCAAGCATCAATCGCACCACCGATCGGTGAAATCACATACCGCCGGCGAACTTCTAAAACCCCACAACCAACCAAAAGCCTCCGACGCCCTCCCACTCCCACTTTACCTTACCAATGGCCTCTTCTTCACTATGTTCTTCTCCGTCATGTACTTCCTCCTTCATAGATGGCGTGAGAAGATCCGTAACTCCGTCCCTCTTCATGTCGTCACCTTGTCGGAACTCGCCGCCCTTGTCTCCCTCGTCGCCTCAGTCATCTACCTCCTTGGCTTCTTCGGCATCGATTTCGTGCAATCTGTTATCCGTCCTTCACCTGATTCGTGGGAAATTGAAGATGATAATTCAGATCAACTCATGATCGACGACGATAAGCCTGTTAAGCCATGCGGGCAAGCCTTGGTTCCCCACATTATGCCCACGACGGATGTGGCTGAAAGCGTCGTGGAGAAGAAGAAACCACCACCCGCCATTGAACACACATCGGAGGAAGATGAGGAAATAGTGAAAATGGTGGTCGCAGGTTCAGTTCCGTCGTATTCCCTCGAGTCAAAACTCGGAGACAGCAAAAGGGCGGCAGCAGTACGACGGGAGGCTCTTCAGAGGATCACCGGGAAATCTTTATCCGGGTTGCCTCTTGAAGGGTTTGATTACGATTCCATTTTGGGGCAGTGCTGTGAGATGCCGGTGGGGTATATTCAGATTCCGGTAGGGATTGCAGGGCCATTGCTATTGAATGGGGCGGAGTTTTCCGTTCCAATGGCGACGACGGAGGGGTGTCTTGTTGCAAGCACCAACAGAGGATGCAAAGCTATCTATGTCTCCGGTGGCGCCACCTGTATGCTGCTGAGAGATGGGATGACAAGGGCGCCGGTGGTGAGGTTTGGCAGCGCAAAGAGGGCGGCGGAGTTGAAGCTGTTCTTGGAAGATCCGTTGAATTTCGACACTCTTGCCGTTATGTTTAACAAGTCAGTGCTTTTGTTTAAATCTCGTAACGTATTTTCTCATTTATTATTTTTATTTTTTTAAATCCAAATATTTAAACAGGCATTTAATAATTTATCTGATTAGAATCATATATATTCATAATATCATTTAGTAAAATAAAAAATAAAAATAAAAATAAAAACTAATCATAATAATTTTATTAAATATTAATTTTTTTACATGATAAAAAACAAAAGTATTAAGTTTTTTGTGTTATGAATTCCCAAGCTTTTAAAAGATGTACTCTCAAATAGTTTTTCTAAAACGATTACATCATATACCTTTTTAGAATATTCAAAAGTTCTGATTTTTTTTTTTAAATAATTGTCTCAAAAATCATATTTAATCCTATACCTTTCGTAATGAATCTTGTACGATTTTAAATTATTACACAATGGGGTATGCTTTTTAAAATCTAGATAGTATGTCATTTTTTTTTGATAACTCAAGAAACTTTATAAATATATTTAAAGTTCGTATGATGAAACCGATGCTTATTAGTTAATATATTTGGTCCTCCTTTAATTAAATTGCTCGTTGACAATTGTCTATTCGGCAGTGCATGAGAGAAAGTCATTAATATGTAGAGGCAATAAATATAAAGAGACTATAAGAAGCCCAAACAACTTCACTATAAGCTAAAAGTGTCGTTTATCCTTACCCTGTTTGTTTGGCTGATTAATAAGTCGGTATGTGTAGTTACAAAATTACGTATTCCTTTGTTAACCTTTCATTTTCGTCTTAAATTCGAGGTAAATAAAAATTTTCTATGAATTATATTACATGAATTTCAAATATTAATTAAATTATCAGATACAAACATATTCATTACCATTGAAAGGTAACAGATCAATGCATTTCTAAACTTTAAAGCAAAAAAAGTTAAAACAAAAATTAAAAAAAAAAGTAAAAAGGCGAGAATGAGAGGTGGGTAGGTGTACACAGAAATCGATGCGCGTTCATGACTCAGCCAGTCGACGTTTGAACGTGATTCATATTCATTGCTCGATTTAAATTTATTTTAGACATATTTTTAACATCAAGATTGATTATTTTAATTTTATGATAAATAATTTTCTACTTTTGTCCAAAATTCTAGATATTTTATATTCAAATATTGATCAAACTATAAAATAAACGTTACACCTTTGTTTTTTCCATGTTTGTCACACTATTTTATACCAAAATAATCATCTAGAAACATATGGAATCCTACAGCCTTTTCAACAAAATAAAAAATCTTTTTTTTTTTTTTTTAAATTCTACAGATCAAGCAGATTTGGAAGACTACAAAGCATACGATGCGCAATCGCCGGCAAAGAATCTTTACATAAGGTTTTGTTGC